TTTACTGTTTTCTTCCAGTGTACACCCACACAATCGGCGGGCGGACAGGTGGCACGGCCTCCAGTAAACAGTTACAGTTACCGCTTCGGTTATTTGGCCGTTCGGTTCGGATATTGTGGGATAGTTTTTCGTTTCGGGGTTGCTGATGATGCCCGTGATGTCCTGATGTCCTGGATCCTGATCCTGATGATGGCCGCAAAAGTGCAGCACGCTCGTAAAACCAATGGGCAAATAGCCACTGGCGAAATGCCCAACTAAGAATGTTGTGTAATTACGTTGCGTTACGCACAGATAGACGTTCGGACGACAGGCAGAAGGAAGGTTGTTTGGGGGGCGGACAGGACATGCCACCCCTCGATAATAACCTCCCAAGGCTGTTTTGACCGCTGTCAGTTGGAGAAATCATAATTAGGCCTTCGGTTCCTTATCCACATCCGTATCTGGTCTGTGGTGTATGCGCGTGTGTTCTTTTTATTGTTTTAATGAACAAGCGAGCGCAATCTTTCGGCCAGGACCTCTGCGAGTCACTTAGGTGGATGGTTTCTAATATCCCAGGGTCCGTTTTCACGTTTTTACGCTTTCAAGGGGGGAATGTGCAAATATTTCCCCAAGTTATACCATAATTGACGTTGTACCGATTGACTCGCTGTCGATATAAAACAATTTCAGTTTCGAAATTGGTTGGGGGCCAAATAAAAAGCAGCTGACACTGTCCTTAACTATCTTAATTGTTATGGAACACAAATGTAAAAGGAACACATTTTGTTCTACTTTAACAGAGAGGAAGTTTACTGTACTCTGTACTCCGCTGTATCCATCATTTAAAATCCCATTTCAACCCAAACCTGTGCTTTAATTACCCCGCCAACAACAATCATCCTGTTAATGTAATCAGACTTTCGAAAAAAAAACCTCCCAAAACCACAACCAAAGCCCAAAACCAATCCCAAACTGATCCACTTTCCGAATCCAGTGATGGAGCCGCAATAAAAACAATGCAGAGATAACATTTAAGCGAAATCGCTTTAAAATCAATTAACCGTAAAATCACTCGCCTATTTGCAACAACAATCGAAAACGCGGTGGTTCAGAGACGTACGAAAGTCCCGCAGGCGCCGGTAAAATGGACAACAATCAAATGTGGTGGCAATAACATTAGCCCCCGTTCCCCGAATCCCCCCCCCGATTTTCCCCCATTCGTATCCCCATGCATGCTGCAGATGCGAGCCCCACATGTTGGACACAACCCTTCTCGTTTAATGCTGCACTTGACCCTTTCTGCGAAAAATGGACGTGCTGCCAGGTATTAACCTCCATTTAATGTTAAACAAAGCCGCGTTACACATGTGCGACGAACGAGTTGGAAAAAATATATGCATATATATATGTATATGTATATGCATACACAACGGCCCCCATTCAGGCCGCCAAATATTTCGATTATCACGGGCTGAAAGAAGTGCGCGGCGGAAAACTGAAAAGTGCGAGAAGAGGGTGTACAGGAGTATAGAAAGCCGGCAAATTGAATTGCTGGCAAACAAGCATCTCCTGTAGGAAGTGAAACTGGGAAAAAAAAACCTGTACGGCTATCAGTACTGATGATGCGGATCTGCAGATACCCTGCAATACAATAATATAAAGTTCCCAACTCTATCCTGACTTTTGAGCTTCACCTGTCTTAAAATTACTTACTATTCATCCTGAAAAGTATGCTTTATCTTATAGAATAGTTTTAGACCTTGGTGTGTTTTAAATCTTTATACTGCAAGGGGATATACAGCTTTTCAAGTCCTCAAAATCATAATTCCCTCATGAGTATAAAAAAAAAAGAAAACAGGACGAACATATATAAGATTGTGTTCATGCATATATCTGGATTCGCACATTCGTTATGTACGAACGTAAATGGGGAACATAAGAATCATCATCAACTCCATGGTCATAAGAATCGTTTTAAACAAAACGGACTAATTAAGCGCACGTTGGCCGTGTTGGTCCTTGAATGGCTAACCAGGAAAAGGAGAAGTGGGCGGTGGGCGGTGGGCGGTTGTTCGGTGGGTCGATGGGGCAATGAGTTTGCACCAAAGGTGAGCCACGGGCGTCAGGTGTTTGGGCGTGAACTGGCTTATTAATGGGCAGTAGCCGCCTTGAAAGAGAAGAAAAACGAGAGATATTGCAGAGCACTTGTCCCATTTTGAATTGGCGAGTGGCTAAAGGCTAAAGGATTTACCATCCCACTGCCCCTACACACGCACACACACACCCACACCCACACTTCGCCTTCAGAATTTTCCTATTAATGAAAATGGCTTCGGTGGCACATTCAGAACAGGCAGAAAAATCGCTTTTTGAGTAGTCAACTCCAAGGAATAAAACGTCTGCTTTTCCCCGGACTTAAGACGCTTTGATGTATGTGTGTCAGAGTTTCGCCCCGCAAATCCATTCCCATATGTATCGCCCCACTAAATCCGTCTTTGAATAATGATGCCGTTGATAGCTGGGATTATACTCAGGCCCACATGTACTTTATATACGCTACACACATATTTCTATATAAATACATTTGGCATAGTGGGTGTTGGTTGGTGTAGCCTGGCCATTTATTTATTATGCCACAATATTCAATGACTCTTAATGGCATTTCGTAATAAAAATATTGGATTAGTTTGTTAGTTTTTCGGAGCGGAGACAACTAACCATTGGCCATCAACCACCATCGAACCGGGCCAGAATTCACCCAGAAATCACCCAGAAAACTCCAGCCAAATGGCCACTCGTCACTTTATCAACTCGACCCGTGCCCATTACATATTCCATTAAACGGCTAATGAGCCCATTGTGTCTCTGGACGCAATTGCGCCACTTTGGGCGGGATGTGTTTCAGGTGCCAGGAGATCAAACAGAAATTATTGAAATATCTACAGAAATATATAGACTGGAGTTTTCATTTTCAGTACGGTTACTTATAGTTAAATGTATTTTTGGAAAGGAAATGAAGTTCCAGTTAATTATGGCCTTCTCTCCTGTCACTGATTGCCTGACATATATTCATGCGGCTTATTAAAATATTTAAAACCTTTGAACCAAAACTTCTTGGCCAGCTGCCCCGGCACGTATTGTGAATGGGAATGGGAATCCGGAACGAAGTTGAACCTGGAAACCGGATCCGTATTCGTATTCGTATTCGTATTCGTATTCATATTCGGAGTCGGAGTCAAAGTCGATGTTTCGGGACCGAGCATGCATGTGACATAATAAATATTAATGACAGCTGACCGGCAAGGCGATCCGAACACCAAACACCGCCCAGTGGGTGGTGGCAAGCTGATGATGATGTGTTTGGTGGTGCTGCAGGAGGGGGTGGTTCAGTCAGTGGGTGCTTCGGTGGTTCAGTGGGCTGATGCTACTACTTTTGCTACTCTGCGTTGACGTTGACACACATTCGACATGTGACAGATAAATGATGGCAATTGGATGAATGCCGACACACCTACATTAGAGATGGCAAGCAAAAGCGATACATTCTTATATTCTTATGATCATAAATTAAGATGTGTTTGAATGAAGAAATCATAATAAAGTCATTTATAATAAACATTCTTTAATTAAATACTTATTATATAATTTTAAATTATATAAACCCTAGATATTTTTGGATACAATTTATAATTATTTTCCTGTCGATATTCATCCCTAGGTAATGGACTTTCCGCCTTAACCTCTCTGGTGACCAGCCAATCATGCCATTTTAGCCATGAGATCATTTTTCATTTTTTCCCCTGCACTTACATCTGGGGTTGTGACATATTTGTGTTGTCTTTGCAGAGAGGCGAGGTTTCACTACTAATAGTTTTCTTTTTCCGGTGCTCGCTGTGTGTTGAGCTCACCATCAATAAAAGTCCCCCCGTAATCGATGCATTTTGAAAGTGAGCAGAGGTCTCTTCTGCGTTTATTTCGATTGATGAAAGGCGAAACCACCCACTGGCCCTCCCGCAGGTCATTTGTCCAGAGTCCTGCGTGATGACTTTCATTAGAAGCCATGGCCAAGGGTCATTGCCGAGAAATTTTTCAACCTCCGCGAGATAAATGCGGGGTCATCAATATTCGACCCAATAAGTCAGCTGATGTTCATGGAACCGCAGATCCAGGTGAGGAGGTTTTTTAGGTAACTAAAACACAACTAATACATATATTTACACTTAAAAAAAAATACAGATTTCATCGATTAATTGTTTAGTTATAAGAAAACAACTTCTAAATTGAATACATTTTACAAGTGTTCCTTCTTCAGCTCTTTTTCTTTTTCTTGGCATCCAATAAAGCAAACAAAAAATCAAAAAGCAATACAAAAGCGTCACAGATTTATTTACAAGCAACGGGCTTAAAGCCAATTTCAAGAGTATAAAGGAAACCCCAGCGAACAAAGTAAGCTCCAACCCCGGCCCCATTTTAATCGGAGGGGTGTAATACGCGTGTATAAAAGAATCAGAAATTCTGATTTTGATTTCAGATACTCCGCCCCCCCAGAGGATTTCCATTTACAGGGGAGGTCAGCGAGGGGTCACAAGTCAAGTGGCGCTTAGTATCCAAAGTCCGGAGTCTTCCGAGTCCGGGGCTTCCTATGACTTCCACTTCAATGAATTGAAAAATTGCCTTGAACAAATTTGATGCGCTCTCCTCTTAGCTGCTTTACATTTCAGTACGAGTATTTCGGTTTGAGATACGCGAGATGCAAAAACGGGGAGGACGTTCAAGAAAATAAAAAAAACAAAGAGGGGGTCCCACCAAACATGACATTTGACATTTGATAATGTCATTTGCCGCGTAATTGTTTTTTGATTTGGTGACTTCCATTGCTTATTTTAAATTTTCCGTTTGCGTTCTTTGATTGCTTTCTTGACGATAGCGAGATATGAAAATTTAAATAAGAAAAAATAAATGTTCGGCACTTGCGTTAAACTAACATAAAAAACTAAAAATTATACCCATTCCCACATACGTGTGTTTAATAATATATGTATTTCACACATAGGTCTGCACATACATAGATGTTTTAAAAATATAAAAAGGTTATTATTATATTATAAGCCAATACAGATGGGAAGATTCCTCAAGGGCGCTTTAGGTTTCTGGAATGATACATAAAATTATACCATTATAAGGGTGGCAAAAAAGAAATAAGAAAACAATTAAAAATCGAACCTCCCATTTTTAAAGGTCAAACTTCTCATCACCAGAATCCTCCCCAAGCGATGTGTCTATGTAGCGAATTTCGATAAAGACGAGCTCCTTAAAGTCCTTGGTGAGTGCCACCATTGTGGAATAATCGATGGCCAGATAGCTATTCGGGTTGTTGACCACCATATCGCTTACGCCACTGAACTCCGACATTTTCATAAGATTCAATAGGGAATTGCCCTTGACACTGCGATCCTGACAATAAACATAAAGGCGGCATCCGATATTCGAATAGTTAAAGTCGGAGGTGGCCAGCCAGAAGATGAACAGTGTTTCGGAATTCTTCTTAGAACGATCTGAATCCTTACTTCGTATTTTATTTGTATCTAAATTTGGACTTGCTTTTGCATCAGCATCTGAACTTGGTGGTGTTGAACCAGATCCTGTACTTTGAAATGGTACCGATTTTGCGGTGCGAATAGCCTTCTCCTTGATTTCTTCCAAGCGAACCTGTGCGTACATTAAGAAGCAGGCAACATGTTCGGCAAAGTAAAGGTACTTCGAGGGCAACTGTTCGTTGGCTATGAACCTGGGAATCGGAATCGTGGTGGTCGGCATCCTGGGCAGCAGGGCAATCACACAGAGGCAGTATACCTGCGTCGGAGGATAGGAACCGGGATAGAACAGTTGGATCATGCGGTCCGACAGCCAAAGCTCCTCAATGCGGCGACAGTGCTCGGCCAAGAAGTGGGACATTAGGTACTCGGAAACTAGTTGTGCTTTGCAACCCTTGATGGGACAAGAATAACTATTGGGTCTAGCCGGAATCTTGCTTTGAAGACGCTTGTTCTTGAAAGCCATGGGGTTAATGGCCAGTGCATCTGGCTTGGGCATCACATGGCGATGGTAAAACTCTTTGAACGAGTCCATATTGGGGGTTCGCATGATCACACCGTCTTGAATACCAGATCTCTCCTCGGCATAACTAAGCGGTTCGTCGTAGAGCTGATTGACACGACTCTCGTGCTTAAGGGCCCATTTCATTAACAGTTCGCAGTTAATCGGGTCCACCAACAACTCTTTATTCCTCTCCTTTTGAAAGGTTTCCACGATCGATATGGCGAAGCGACACCTAAGCAAGTACTTATTCTTGGTACTTCGTTTCTTAGACGTGGAAACATGGAACAGCACCCAAAAATAGGCAGTTACCATTACGTGAGCCATTCGGTATGAGAGGCGTATTATGTTCTGATCGGGCTTATTTACTCTATTTATATACTGCAGAACCTCATCATCCAGTTGTTTATGCGATAAGGTCTCCAGCTCTTGAGGTGTTCGCTCTTTAATCAGATAGTGAGCCGGAAAGAAGCCCTCGTTGACGAACCAATGAAAGTACAGACCATCCTGCTGTAAACGCTCCCAGTAGAAGTGCTCCAGATACTGACAAATTTTGCGATGACCAGCAATGGGACCTTTGCCCTTCATCAGTGGCATTCGGCCCATCCAATGTAGGACTTGCACTGAAACTTCATCAATGTCGAAAAACCTCCTGAAATCGTTGTTTTTGATCTTGTTTTTGAGTCTGGTCACACTCGAACTGTTTCTTTTCTTTCCTTGTTTTGTTTTCTTCGTTGATGTTATTGGGTTCTCTGTTCCAGAAAAACCTTCGCCACGTTTCCTTGGTTTCTTAGTGGGTGAAATTCTCTTTTTGACTGCGAATTTACATCCTATTCCTTTGGATACATTCAGACAGGGATACTTATTCGGGAAATCTTTCTGCGGCATTTTAGCATCATAGTACAAGCTGCCTGTAGAGGTTTCAAATGCTGGTTGGCTGAGCGCCGACCTGAAGCTACAATTCGAGGACCTATCACTTTCTGTTCTGGCACTTGTTGGCACCTCACTGAGATCAGTGCTCGGAGCACTGAAGTCCTTGGCACTGTAGTAATGGCCTCTTGTAGTTTTGAACGTTATTTCCGGTTCATTCTTCCAAAATTTATGGCTCGACTTTGGAAGTTCTGCAGTGGCTGCTAGATTCTTTCGACGCCCGAGAATGGGTAAGTAAACGGCCCTCAGGGGGTTCTCTGGTAAAACCAAGTGGTGCAGCTTTTCTTGCTTCAGCAGACGAAGCTCATCCATTAGGAGGTTCTTTAACCTCTGACCCCTGTCTAGTCTCTCGGGAGGGCCAACTTTCTTTTTTGGTGCTTCGCTTTTGGAATGTGGCCTTGGATCCGGCAGTTCGGGTATTTCAGCTTTCGGGGTTGGTTGTGGTACAATAGGTATCATGGGTCTAATATTCAGCCTGATAATAGTGTTTTCACGTATTTGCTCTTTCGTTAACTTATCTTCCGCCAAATAATCGCCTCCGTTGAGTATTTTTTTTCGAATGCGTTTCAGTTTTCGCTCGGCTTTCTGCCATTCCAGTTGCCTTTTCCAGGCTTTGTATAACTTTGGACGAACCTTCACCTGCTTAATTGGTACATAAGAGTACATTCGCTTAAGCTCCGCTCGTGACCCATTTCTATTTCTGAGTTTTATCAATGGCTCCGGTTCTATCGGTTCGCCATTAGCTAATTTCCTGTTTATAATCTCCTGCCGTTTTTTATTTTTTCTATACTGCTTTACAAAACGAATTACTTTTCGTTGATATTCGGTCAATGGTGGAGGTCCTGGGATCAGTGAAAATGTATTCTCAGCTGCCACTTGTGCACAAAGAAGATAACAACACATCTGACTTACCTTGTGTACTCCACAGACTCTTCGACGATGCTGGCTCCTTGAATCGGGGAGGCACTAAAACCACCACAGGATTGGCGCCATCGGCGGAATCTCCTTCGGTCGCGGCTCTCTTATTCTCTGTACTAAGTTCCGATGCGTCGCGAGCTGCAAATTTTGCAAATTTATTACAATATTTGATCTTTGAGCTTTCAGCAAATTACATTTTGTGTTTTTGAAAGCTGCATTTTTAACCAATATTGTCCGAAAAGGGTTTAATTTTTTGAAGGATTATTTCTTTGTTTGTTTCATGAGTTTTAGACAATTACTACATGTTCGATCATTTCAGAATGGTAGTTTTTGGCTTAGCCTTTGGACAATGCTTACCGGACAGCATTGTTGATTTGGAAGTTTCCTTGCTTTTACGCTGCAAAGCTTGCAGCTTTCTTTGGGCATGAGCCGAAGTGCTGGGAGCATCGTCATCGGGGGAACAAGGCCGTGTGATTGGAGTGTCAGGACGCACGCTTGACGACCTTTTGTCGAAATTCTTGTTCAGCCATATTGGCTTGATTGTATTGTTTGTTGGTTCCAAAATCGGGAAATCATCCCAAAAGTCACAAGGGAAAATCGAAAAAGGGTCTCAAAAAAAAAAAATAAATAAATAAGTAAATAAAGTTTTATTCCTTGATTTTGTGCAAATCAATTACCTATTTTGCTCGCCGCTACCTTATTTAAAGCTTCTGCATCCTTTTCCGTTCCGGTTTCCTCACAGAATTCATCGGGAACCTTGTTTGCGCGAAATTTCTCGATTTGCTCCATTCCAAACTCGCAATCTAAATCGAATTCCGGCTCTAGAGTTACCTCCGTCAGCCGGCGATACGATTGCACCTTGCCACCTCTGGCTAAACCTTTGTTCTCTGCAGAAATGATCGGTTCCTTTTATTACGAAACCCCACTCTCGATTTCACTTTTTATTTTTCACTTACTCGATCGATTGTGTTGTTTTGGCTCCTTGAAACGGGGACTGACAGTAATTGTGTATTTGGCATGGCCCATCTGATTTATTTTGAATTGTTTTGGGGGCCTCGATTTTGGAACAGTTCCAGTGGGACCCGTTTTTTTGACTCCTTCGTCGATAGAAAAATCGCCCAATTTAAGAAAATGCTCCATTTGCGGTACCAAACTATCGACCACATTAAATATATCTATAAAGTGCACAGTTATCGTAAGTACTAGAGTGTTTAGCTTGAATATTATTCTTTCTAATCAGTGGTTTGCCGAAAGGGTTTTCTTCTTATAAAAATTTTCTTCAATTTGGAAAGATGCTCTATTTTGGCTTTTTATCATTATATAGTTGCAGTGTCTATTGGTAACTCACAGTTCATGCGACTTTCCTGGTTTTTGGCAATGAAATCAGGGTAGGGAAAGGGCGGATCGAAGCCCTGCCCGTTGAGCTTGGGCGGAGTGCACTTCCCCACCACACTGGGCAATGGAATGGCAGTCGAGTGGTGTTTTCTAGGATAGATATACCTTCGCGGGGGAAGGACCGGAATCTCCTCTAGTTCCGGAGGATTTGAGAGATCCAACACGTCCTCCGCAAGAACAACCGGATCATTGAATTCCTCTCGATACTCAAAAACCGACTCCTTTGATGGCTGATGCACCAATGAAAATCAATATACATAATTTATTATTTAAATTTGTGCTCCGATTATTTTTAGATATCCAATCCCCTTGGATATTATTTGGTCGTACCTCGAAGTTTAAATCCTGAAGGGGCTTTGCTTTTCCGTCATTCCCATCCTCGTCCTGAGCATCGAATTCATAGTTGCTCTCGGCCCCCATATCTTCCAAGTGGTAGTTAATTTTCGGAAGACGGCTGATCAGCATGTTCTGGAGCAGATCCTGCTCCTCGAACAGCTGCTGCAGATGACTCTCCAAGCGATCCTCTGGCGTGGAGGCCCGCGCCTGAATCCTGGTCCTATTGCGATACTTTGGACGGGCTCGGGGCCTCTCGGTATTCGGCATTTCCCCTTCAATAAAAGTATATCAGTAGTGCCACGCCTACAACAGTTTATCTGCAGGCACATCGGTATTGGCTCGTGTCCATGGGGTTATTGGTTATTGGTTATCGATTGATTTGAGGGACAGGCGCAGTAGAGACCCGAAGGCGGTTCCCTACAGAACAGGAGAACACTCATCGCTCTGTTTTGTTCTTTGTTCCACTTCTGCTGCTGCTGCCGTTGTTGTAAATTTAATCAAACACCCAAACGAGCGCATATAGTATATCAGAATGTGCGCAGCAAAGAGTAACGAAAAATTCAGAAAAAATCAAAAGGCGAAAGGAACCAATCGAAAATGAGATTCCCTTTAGATGGCATTTTACATGACAGAATTTATATACATTTGGGTTATTTTATTTTAAATGTTTTTCCATACTAGGGAACAATTTCGAAATGCAATTTTTTGGTGAACATTAAAGGTTAATAAACACTATCCCCAGATAACCCAAAGATGTAGGGTATTAGAACATCAACACAGTGGGGAAAGCGGGGAAAATGGGGAAATAGGAGACGCAGCAGTGGAAGATTGCTGCGAGAGAAGTGAGCAATGTGAACAAAAGAGGGAGAGCAAAGCATGAAATTGGCAGTCGTTTGCCAGCCACTCCCCCTTTTTCTCCCAGTTGTCGCACCACCTTTCCCTTCCCTCCACTTTTCGCCTAGGTGTATGGGGCACCACCCACCCACTACCCACCGCCTCACCGCCTCAGCTAACGCCCCACCCTTCGGCGAACCGTAAATTGCACTGCATTTTATTTAGTTTTCGTTTTCGCTGCTGGTCAGCCAGCCGACGTCAATTTTCTCGCAGCAATCGCTGTGATCAGGTTGGAACTCCATGTAGCAAAAGAGAAAATCTAGCCAACTTGGAGGATTTATATTGCTGGCTTTTCTAGTCTATTTATTCAATAACATTTAAACATACAGTAAGGTTTAATTGTTGCTTCTTTTATATCAAATGACTTGTGGAATATATTTTTCATGATTTCTTTCTGTAAATGAAACTTAACTTACTTTTTACAACTCCCTTATCAATTTTTTTCTATAACTTCTTCTGTTTTCGGGTGCATTTTTTCGAGTGCTGAACTAGACATTTATCGCCGCTCTCATGTTCAACCCAGAGGGCCCGGCGACTAATAACTAACGTGGCAAGCTCAGCTCGAACTGGTGCTACCCCTTAACCCCTGACCCCTGTCCCAAGCCCCCATTCACCCCACATGCCACATCAATTCTCCCCAGACACTATCAAGCCCCACCCGACAAAGTTAGTTTACGGCCAAAGTTTAACATAAAAAAAGCAAATAATCAGAAAAAAAAAAAAACGAAAAAACAAAAAATGGGGAACCAAAAAAATTACCAAAAAAGAATATCATAAAAAATTGTGCACGAAAAAAAATTTGGAGGGGGGTTGAATTTTTGGTCAAAAGCTAGTCAGAAACCGTGCAGGGAATCATGGGAAAAAAAATTGTAAGAACATGCGAGAGAGAGGAAAAAATTGGTTTGCAATGCATTTTTTTACGCGAAGCTTTTCATTTGGCGCTGGTAGCCATTAGAGCAAAAATCAGCAGCATCCTGGGGCAGTGGAGAGGGGGGTTGGGGCTCAGGAAGAAAAAAAATGGAGCGAGGAAAGGGGAAGCAGTTGCTCTACAAAAAAAAAAAAAGGAAAAAAAAAACAACACAAAAAATGGTGAGCTGTGGTTGTTGGTGCCACACATGTGGAAATTGTGCGCGTTTTGCAGTTTTTTAATTGACCAACAAATTTATTTGATTCGTTAGCAACGTGAATATTTTCTTCCACTGTCCTGGCTCTCACCTTTCGACCCCACTGTTCTAAGCCCCCTCCTATGCTTTAATTTCTACCTGCATATGCATTCAGTGCGTTTCATTAAAGGGATAAAACTTAAGGGGCGCCTCAAGATCAATGAACATTTCGGCGAATTAAAGTGCCAGTGCCAAAATGTCCTGATGTCCCTCCTTCAAATCGAGCCAAGGGTAATTGAAATTCAAAGCAAGCAGCACCCAGCACCCTAAAATCTGAAATCCTAAATCCCAGTCCCAAAGCCGAAAGCTGAAACCCGACACCGAAAACAAGGATACGCACTGTATGGCAGGATGGCAGGACATCAGCAGGGCAGCAAGGAGTCGCCCGGCCGGTCGGTTGGTCTCTTGTTGTTTCTAAGGATTACATATTGGTAAACAGCGATTACAACAACCAAGTAACGACAACTTATTGTGCTACAAATTGGTTTGTTTGCCCTGCCCACCCCCCACCGCCCCTTGTTTTTGGAAGGCAGAGGGAAGGGGGAATTGTTTGATTTGATTGTTGACTTTATTGGTCAGCACGGCGACGGCGGCGGCGACGGCCTTTCGGGTGTTGTTCTTTGGCCTATATTGCTGGCTATTGCCATTGTCATGGCCCCACGCTCGGGCTTTTGTTGTTTTACGATATTTAATCTATGATTAAAATCAATTAAATGCTACACTTGACTTAATTTATTGTCGCCGGCGAAATCAGACAAGAGTTTTGTCGGTTTCCAAGACAAGTAGCCGCGCATACAATATGTACATATATATAATACTATATATGTATACAAACATAGTATCCCAAATAACCGAATAACCGATGCAAAACGAAATGGAATGAAATGCTCGTAAAAATCAAATCGGTCTCTCTTTCTATCTCTGTCTTCCATCTTGTTAGCCGGCTATTTCTTTCTGCCAATAAAAATCTGGCAGCAAAAATCTACGAAAAAGTCGGAAACACTTTGTCGGTGGCTTGGCTTGTTTTTCGGGGCTTTGGTTTTGTTTTGTAGCCTTATCTTTATGGCTCGATCTCGAAGTCTCGGTTTTGTGTTCTCTGGTGTTCCCTCACCCTCTCCCTTGAATTCTGGGTATTGCCGTCTCGTAGAGCAGATAATTGTCCACCTTAAACGGAAACGGGGGTCACAACGGGAATCCGTATTGCCAAAAACAAATGATAAAAAAAATATATGGATGTATTATAGGAAATTCGGGGGAACAATCTGCATACTCTTTAATTAAATTAAAGAGTTTCAAGTCAATAGAGCGTGTTAATTGTGCTACTTAAAATTACAAAACCAATTGATGAAATAAAATACCAATAAACCTCTTAACCATCATCTTATTTGTGAAAACGCACATGCCCCAAGATAGAGTGTTACATAAACAGCCAGTTAATAGCTTTTGGGGAGGGGCAATGGAGCTTGTTGAAATTTTTAAGCTTTGATTTGCTTGACTCTGCGCTTGGATTGATCAATGAACTCGACGACGACCTTGAATACTTAATGCCAATGCCGAATACCCAAAGAAAACTCCCTGAAAATCTTCAATCGAACCCCAAGCCAGAAAACAGAAAACCTCAATTACAATCAAAAACACAAATGAAAAGGGTGAAAACTCTGGGATGAACTAGAGTAAATCAAAAATTCCGTTTAATGACGCAATTGGAGTTTGATGAGTCGGAAAACTGAAGCGAATGTCCATTTGCTGATGGAACTGTGGAGCAATCAATGCAGCTGGCGAGCGATAAGGATGAGATCTTTCTGCCCGCCAGGTAAATTGCAACCAATAATAATGAATAATTGAAAATCCAATCAAACACCAAATGAAAACGGAGGCCAGTCGTCGACGACCGGCGCGCATATCCCCATATCTCCATATCCATATCCCCTTATACCCACATATCCACCGAAAATTCGGAGGAGTGAGTCTGTGTCCTTTGGTGGCTGGTGTTGATTTTGCTGGCTTTATCGAAGGACATTAGCAAACGGTCGTTGGGTTTTCGCCTGCAAATGCAATCAAACGCGTGGGGCCAACAGCAATATGCACGGCAGCAGCAGCAGGAGCAGCAGGAGCAGCAGAATGGAAGGATAAACCAAAGCAACCTGCATAGATGACACCCCAGGGACATGGCAGAAGTCAATGAATGGTAATAGGTGTCGACATGGGCGGCCTTCTCGCACATACAACCCATACAACCCATACAATCCACACACAACCACCCACAACCCACCGCCCACTGCCCAGTGGCAACCTTTTGGGCAAAGAGACAGGGGGCGTGGCAAGAGTAACATCAACGTGTTGCGGCCTTTTGTCCTGCTGCTGTTTTTGCTGATTGCCACTTTCGGCAATGGATCGAATGCCCAGAAACTGGAACTTTGAAGCGGGAATGGAGCTCTGAGTGAAGAGCCGAAGTGGCAGCATGCATTAATTACCAGTTACCAGATTCATTGACAATATCACATGTAAACTCGACTTTTGGAGAACGTTCTTTAATTGTTTATTTCCCCAAGTAAACATTCAGATTAGTAAGTAATAAAACTCGGATATAAACTTTGTTATACCAGATCAAATTGATTGAAAATCCATTGGTTAAATGGGTGACGGAAAGTCATTTGGTAAGTGCGCCTAAAAGTAGGCAGCACCGAAATACAGCCGGATTTCCCAGCTCACACTCACACTCATACAAACACACACACACTGACACACTCATGTAAAGCTGTTGCAAATTGTCGATTCGGAAAATGTGCGCCGCCGGCGGCGAATCGTCGAAAAATGTTGGCCACCGCACCCCGGCATTTTCGGGAGGTGAAAAGCAAGCAGCAAGGACTCGCAGGACCCTCGCCAAACTCAGTAGTTCACTGCCGCGCCGCGGTGGCTGTGTCGAAAAATGTTAATTGATTTATGTTTATATTTGTGCAACATGTTGATGCCGTGCGCCTCGCACATTGCAGTCGGCAGAAAACGCTCGCGGTTGTCATTTTGCTGCCAATTTTGCGATGGCGGGGTTGCCGACACAGACAAACCAAAACAAAAACAACCCAGCCACGTTAATTGAACAACATTCGACAGGCATTCGAGCAACTCCGAAACGGAAAACCGAATCTGCACAAACCCCAAACGCCGAGCCAATGTCAGAACTCAATTTGAGGCGAGTTTTCGGCGTTAGCGGCATA